AGTTGGGTTTTTTTTTTTGGTTCCCTTCTCTTTTTTTTTTTTTTTTTTTTTTTTTTTTTTTGCATTGAAGGCTTCTTGAGTAGTCAGCCAAAGTAGCTAAACTTGAAAGTGAACCCAGCCCTTTTCACTAACTGTGGCTTGGGCTTGGTGTCGCTTACAGACAAGGCATCTCTCACCCAAGACTTTGACTATTTGGAAGGCTTTTTAAAAACCAACACGATGCCAGTGTTGTCATGTGTGTTAAACTTGGTGCAAGCTTACTGCTGGAATGCAAATGTAGGCATGAATAACTCCTGCATGCAAGGCAATACTTGGCCTAGTGTTGAATGTCACTAGAAGGAAGGAAGTCTTTTGCTTAGGAGTTTGTAATTGCTATCACCTCTTAAAAAGATGTTTTTAAAGCCAACTTAAGCTATACCCATTGCAGAAGTAAAGTGTTGTCTTGAGGGACACGTTTGATTTGCATATCAAATAGCTTAGACTCATGTAGCTGTCTTGTGTGATCTCATGGCCACTCTTTAGAAACTGTTCCTATGCATCAGCTCATGTGGAAGAAGTGGTCAGGTGCTCAGGAGGAGTCCTCACAGGCTTGAAACAAACAGACTTAGGTTTTACTAGTCTTTGAATGCCTTGGCTGCTGAACATCAGGCCAGGTGCATCTACTGGAAAAGGAAGTGCTAGAAAAAAGGCTTTAATGGATTCCTACTGAGATAGTTCTATGGAGAATTTAAGCTTCCTGTGCTTTTGCTAATGTAACTTGTTGCTGAGGCCTCTAAGGAAGCTTTATGTTGAATGCCTGCTCTCTGAACAGCTGACTTCCTGGGTTTAAGCTTTGCAGGACTGTTGTGTTCCTTTTCTGGCATATTAGAAATATTGATGCTTTGTAGCCTGGCTGCTAGATGTTAAGCACTTGAATAGTTAAACCATACCCTGAGGCTGCACACTATCTACTCCATTGGCCCTACTGTATAAGGGATTGTTGGGACACTGTTTGTCTCATTGCCTTCAAAATAATCCTGGCTTGGCAGGTAAAGCTACTCAGTAGCTTTTCACCACTGTATTGCAAGCAGTCCACCCCTTTCTGTTTCAAGTTGTCCCAGCTGCCTGATGCTGCATGTGGCAGTGGCTTAATTTGGTGTGTGCTAGCTGGTTTGAGTTCAGGTTTACGGTGGCCCCTGTAGCAAGGAGTAACATGAGAATGGGCACTAGGTAAAAGTTAATTGATGACCCTAGGCAAGTCTAGGCTGCCTGCTTGATTCAGTCTCCCTTCAGTACTTAATGATGCCTCTGCAAACCTGCTCTATCCTCTGTTGCTCGCTTGTGTGTCAAGTGGAGGTTAGAGAAAGACTACTGTACTTCAAACTGTTACCCTAACACATTCCCTCTGGGCAGTGGCATCACAACAAAGCTGCAGTAACACTGGACTGCAAGTCTTGTATCAGTGCATCATTCCTCAGGACTAGGCTTCTAGTAAAATAAGACTGTGCAGTTCAAAATAGCTCTTTTCTTCATGTAGCTTATGAACTCTGCTGGGCTAAGCCAGCCTGAGGTTAAGCATCTGTTGTCAGTATTTATTGCCAAGTTCCCCTGGACTTACAGTTTATTGGTGTGACTTCCTTGTTGTAAGAGTGATTTTTTTTTTTATTATTTGATAAAGATGCCTCCAAGGAAACCTAGTAGTAGACTGAGTTTTAGTCAGTTTGGTAAAATCCCTATGCTGATGCATGGTCACTCTGAAAAGTTGTAAAGTAAAGCATACTTCATGCTCCCTTGGCTCAAGATGTAATTGTTGCTGTGTTTGTCCTCAGATAGTTCAGTCAGTCACTAAGCTGGAGGTTGAAGACTACAGCTTGCTTTTGAGTAATCATTTTTCAAGATCCTCACACTTTAACATTAATAGTCTTGTCTACAAAGCAGTAGGTAGTATTTAAGTCTAGTCCAAATACCTAAAGCTTTTTACTGAAACCTGAAGACCTATATTTTGGGATTGAGTTCTGGGGATAAGCATTTGGTATATTTTGTGCCTAGGCTTTGTGAGTTTCTGATGACTAGAATAATCACTAGTGTTGGTAGTGATCTCTGCTTGTCCCTATATAAGTGCTTGGGAAAAGACCTCTTAGAAGAGAACTTGGACAAATTGCTTCAATTTTAAGCTGTCAATGTACTGATGGTACTTGTTTACTATCCCTCTCATTCACCTCATTCAATCAGGGTGCTGTAACTGTTGCGCACAGGAGTAAGCAATAAGTTGACTGTAGTCACTGGCAGCTTGGTCTAATTTGGGCATTGGGAGAACCAAATGGATAGTAATGCTTCTAGCCTTTGTATCTAAGTCTTACTCAACCATTTGTTAAATATGGTGAAGCATATTTCATAATGTTCTTTAATTTCAATGAAACTAGTTATAAGGTGGGATGCTGGGCTATAGTAGCAGAAGCTTTGCGGGGAGTGGCTGGAGCACTCTGGTTTTTCTCACTTGTATTGGAAGAGAAGGCCACTCAACTAAAGTGTCTGGATTGGGCTTGTCTCTTTCTGATTAAAATTGCACTTTTTGTTGAAATTTAGAAGACCTTTTATTTTCCTATGTTTATCTCTTTTATTTTTTTACTATTAAAAGAAGTCAGCTCTTGGAAAATCTGTCTCATACCTCTTTGGAAGAAGTGAGTCTTTTTTTTTTTTTTTTAAGCTGGCAAAA